CCCCCATTCTTCCCTCCCCTCTTCCCCTACTCCACCTCTCTCCTCCCTCTCATCCCCTTTATTGAGCTCCCCACGGACTCCCTTCAAAAGCTTCAGCCTGCCGTCACTTCCCTTGGAAAGCTTAAACTTACGGCCTTCCTTCCTCCCTCGCTTCCTTTCACCAGTCGAGTCTTCTATATCCCTCCCAAGCTCGGGAACTCCCATCATCTCCCCTTCCTCCACTCTCCTCTCTATCTCCATCATCTCTTTCCCATCCACCCTCTCCCGACCCCCCTGCTCCGCATCTCTTTCCCTCCCTGCCTTCTCCTCCCCTTCCTTCCTCCCCCCACCGCCTCCTCCCCCAACCTCTCACTATCACCCTCCACCATATCCCCTCCTCTTCCTCCTCTTCCTCTTCCAATATCACCTCCTCCTCTACCGCACCCCCAATCCTTCTCTTTCCCTGCTTCTCAACCCCTTCCTCCTCCCCTTCATCCGCGTCCTCCACTCCATCCCCCACTTCCCTCCACCACTTTCCCTCACCCAACAAACCTCCTCTCCATCTCCCTCCTCTCCATCTCCCTCCTCCTCTTCCTGCTCCTCTGCTGCTACCCCCCCTCTGCTCCCTCAACAACCTCCCACCCTTCTACCTCCTCCTCCTCTTGAACCTCATCCTCTCCCTCTTCCTCTTCCCTTCCCTTCATCCTCTTATCCTCCATCTCCTCCGCTCCTCCTTTGCCCTCCTCATCACCTCCCTCCTCCTCTTCCCCATCCATTCCCCCATCCAATCCCTCATCCTCCTCCTCCCCTCCCCTCCCCCCTCTTACCCCCTCTCCCTCCCCTCTTAAACTCCCCTTCCTCCTCTTCCTCCTCCTCCTCTTCTCCCACTTTCTCTCCCTCCTTCCATCCCTCCACCTCCACAGGCTCCTCCGCCGAACCTCCTTCCGCCCCTCCCTCATCCGAACCTGCCGCCTTCCTCCGTTTCCGAAGCGCAGGCTTGGCAGTCGTAGCAGCAGCAGCCGCCACCTGCTTCGAATTAGCCCTCAGCCAAGGCACCACCTCCCAAGGCTCCTCGACCAATCGCGGCCATTCCTCCTCCTCATCCATCCTATCAAAAAGCGCCAGCTCAGCGTCCCCCCGGGCAATCATCCGGTTTACCTCTTTCATCGAGGGTACATCCGGAACTGCCTCTTGGTACCGCTCTACATCCTTCAACAGAGCTTCTAAAGTCATCCGCCGCTCTTCCTGCGTCGTGCGTTGGTCGAACCGACCTGCGTTAATCACTTCATCTGCCATTTCGATCTTATGCTGCTGTATCTTTGTGCGAACTAGTGTTTCTATAGAGCCTATGTACCTTGATCCGCCCTCATCCCCTCCTCCCCCTCCTTTCCCTCCTCCTCGTCCTCCTCCTTCCCTTCCTCCTCCTCCCCTTCCTCCTCCTCCTCCCCTTCCTCCTCCCCTTCCTCCTCCCCTTCCTCCCCTTCCTCCTCTCCTCCCTGCTCCTACTCCAGACGACTGAGATGTTGGTGACTGCACCAACCCATCCCCCCTCTTCCTCTTCCTCCACCTCCCCTCTCTCCTCCCCCCCACACCCCCATCTCCCTCCCCATCCCCCCCCACCCCTCCCCTCCTCTCAATCTCGTCCTCTTTACAGTAAGCTGCAGTAACCTCTGTAACTGCCTCAAGATACATCACCAAAACCTCCCTCTTCTGCCCTATCCTGTGCGCCCGCGCTACTGCCTGCTCTTCATTCTTAGGATTCGGATCAGGGTCATATATCACCACCGTATCCGCACTCTGCAGATTCAGCCCCCGCCCCGCCGCCCGGATGCTCAGCAAAAAGACAAAATGCTCCGACCCGGCTTTGTTAAACTCGCCAATCGCAGCCTCCCGAGCGTCCAACGGTGTAGATCCGTCTATCCGGCAGTACTTAAGATTCCGCCACCGCAAATAGTCCTCTAAAAGGTCCAGAAGCTTCGTCATAGTGGAGAATAGTAACACTCTGTGCCCCGTGCGATGCAGTTTAAGCAGAACTCGATCTAAGATATAAAACTTGCCGCACGTGCGAACGATCACATCTGGGCTGTAGAAAGAGGGACCGCTAGGGTAACCAGTATCTGAAGCACCATATGGCTTTGCACCAGCACCAGCAGCAGCGCCACCAGCACCATCGGCACCGGCAGCAGCAGGAGGAGGAGCAGGAACAGCAAGATCATACGAGGAGTAGGTGAGAAACGGGTGGTTAACCACCTTTCTCAGCTCCATGCACTTGTTCTGCACCGGCACAAACTCCCTCACATACCGCTGCACCGTACTCCCGCTGCTCTTCCCCGCAGCCACCCGCCGAGCCTCCTGCTCAGGATCGGTCCGAAGCGTGCCCGTGGCTCGGACCCAGTCGTAGATCGCGGCTTGGCAGGCGGAGAGCGGGCAGCGGAGCACGACAGAGGTTTTCTTGGGAAGGCTGCCCTCTACGTCTTGGACCATGCGGCGCAGCATGAAAGGTTCGAGAATCTGGTGTAGACGGTGGATCACAATCACTTTCTTTTCAGTCTCCAGCCATTCTATCTCATCCGCTGCCGCCCCCCCTGCTCCTCCCGCTCCTCCCCCTCCTCCTCCCCCCCCTCCTTTGGTGTCTTTTTGAAAGGGGGAAGCGAACCAGTCGTTGAAAACCTTGCTCGAATCAAACACGTCTGGAAGAAGAAGGTTGAGGAGAGACCACAATTCCCTCAGGTCGTTCTGCCAGGGTAACGCAGGGAGACAGGGGCAAAAGGGGGAAGCGAACCAGTCGTTGAAGACCTTGCTGGAGTGAAAGACATCTGGAAGGAGAAGGTTGAGGAGAGACCACAATTCCCTCAGGTCGTTCTGTCGGGTTGGGGGACAAGCAACACACAGGGCGAGACAGTGCGGGGAGGGAGGGGGGGGAGGTTGACTAAAGACCTTGCTCGAGTTAAACACATTTGAAAGTGGAGAGCTTTAGAGCTTCCGCAGTCGTTCCGCAAGGGGTTACTCCACAGGACTGGAGTTTGTCCACCCCTCTCTCTCCTTGCTCCACAGTGTCAAGAGTACCCAAAGTCGCCCTCTTATTACCTATCATAGACCGTCCGTACTACATGTCAGCCTCTGTCTCGCTCTAAAGGAAAAGTTTTGTCAATGCCTAGCATCCTCTCGTTAATGTTATGAATTTCCCTAACTTTTCGATGTGTCAAATGCCCGTGCGGGGCTTGTCTTTGTGGTTCTATATTGTTAGAGGTAAGTAATCAAGCTCAGAAAAAATCTTAGAGTGTTCTTTTTTCGTGGGTCACTTGAAATGCTTCAACCACATCGCCCTCCTGCCAGTCATTTTGAGGGGTGTGGGGAGAGAACCCCTGCTCGACGCGTTCTAATTTCTGATTTTGAGCAGGCGGGGTTTGAAAGTTGAGTGCCAGCTACGAGTGCTGACAGCGGGGAGGGGGGAATGGAGATGTGTGGCACCATAGGGACTGCGGACAAAGTACATGAGGGAGGTGAAATGGTGAGGGTGTTCGACCTCGATTCTCCTGTCACGAGAACCGGCAGAGGATGCTACAGGAGAACCGAGCTCGAACACCCTCACCATTTTACCTCCCTCATGTACTCCGTCCGCAGTCCCTATGGTGCCACACATCTCCATTCCCCCCTCCCCGCTGTCAGCACTCGTAGCTGGCACTCGGCTTTTAAACCCCGCCTACTCAAAATCAGAAATCAGAACGCGTTGAGCAGGGGTTCCCTCCCCACGCCCCTCAAAATGACTGGCAGGAGGGCGATGTGGTTGAAGCATTTCAAGTGACCCACGAAAAAAGAACTCTTTAAGATTTTTTCTAAGCTTGATTACTTACCTCTAACAATAAAAAACCACAAAGACAGAGGGGGAGAGCCCACGCACTCGTCTTGAATTGAGAAGGCACAGAGGGAGAGACGACCTTAGAACCCGAAACTCGAAACCCTAAACCTTAGTACCCCCCCCCCCCCCCCCCCCCCCCCTCCCTGCCTCCCTACCTCCCTCCCCTCTCCTTCCCACCTGCAGGGGCGTGCCGGTGAGCAGCAGCCTCCTCTGCACTCTGAAGCGGTCCAAATCTCTTGACAATCGCGAGTCCCTGTCCTTCATGCGGTGGGCCTCGTCAATCACCAGGTAGCGCCAGTCCACTCTGGAAAGACGCGCCCGGTCCCGCATGATGAACTCGAAGGTGGTTACCAGCACGTTGAACTTCATTGGGGCTACCTCCTGGTAATCGCCAGGGATGGACAGAGGGGCAAGAGAGGGGAGAGAGGGTGCTTGGGGCACCTCGAAACGCCACCAGGTGGCGCCAGTCCTGCATGATGAACTCGAACGTGGCTACCAGCACGTTGAACTTCATTGGGGCTACCTCCTGGTAATCGCCAGGGATGGACAGAGGGGCAAGAGAGGGGAGAGAGGGTGCTTGGGGCACCTCGAAACGCCACCAGGTGGCGCCAGTCTACACGGGAGAGGCGAGCCCAGCCCTGCATGATGAACTCAAATGTGGTTACCAGCACGTTGATACCAACACGTTGATACCAGTTCATGGGATCTACCTTAAAAACGCGCGGCATTGAGTCCCTCCCCCCCTCTCCCACATATACACACAAGCACAGGCACAGGCAGCTTGGCATAGAGCTTGGCGCGCTGGTCCTTGCCTCCAACGTAAAAGACAGCAGAGAGGGATGGCAGCCACGCGTGCAGCTCCCTCCTCACCCAACCCCACCGCACCCCACCCCACCTCACCTTGGCGTAGAGCTTGGCGCGCTGCTCCTTCCCTCCCACGTAGAAAACAGCAGAGAGAGATGGCAGCCACGCATGCAGCTCCGCCTTCCAGTTCACCAGCACGGCGTTGGGCACGATGATGAGGTGCGGGCCGTAGTTTCCTTTATGCTCCATGAGATAGGCTAGCAGTGCCATGACCTGAAGAGTTGAAGGGAGATGAGTGGCAGGGTAGCAGGGGTAAGGGAGGGCGTCAGTGGGGCATCAGCGGTAGAGGGAGGCAGCTCCGCCTTCCAGTTCACCAGCACGGCATTGGGCACGATGATGAGATGCGGGCCGTAGTTGCCCTTGTGCTCCATCAGATAGGCTAGTAGGGCCATGACCTGTTTGGGAAGAGGAGTTGAGGGGAGTTGAGGGGGGTTGAGGGAAGTGGAGTTCACCAGCACGGCGTTGGGCACGATGATGAGATGTGGGCCGTAGTTTCCCTTTTGCTCCCATCAGGTAGGCGAGTAGAGCCATCACCTGTTGAAGGGAAGTTGAGGGGGGTTGAAAGGAGTTGAAGGGGGTAGTTGAAGTGAGTTCAGTTCACCAGCACGGCGTTGGGCACGATGATGAGATGTGGGCCGTAGTTTCCCTTTTGCTCCCATCAGGTAGGCGAGTAGAGCCATCACCTGTTGAAGGGAAGTTGAGGGGGGTTGAAAGGAGTTGAAGGGGGTAGTTGAAGTGAGTTCAGTTCACCAGCACGGCGTTGGGCACGATGATGAGATGTGGGCCGTAGTTGCCCTTTTGCTCCCATCAGGTAGGCGAGTAGAGCCATCACCTGTTGAAGGGAAGTTGAGGGGGGTTGAAAGGAGTTGAAGGGGGTAGTTGAAGTGAGTTCAGTTCACCAGCACGGCGTTGGGCACGATGATGAGGTGTGGGCCGTAGTTTCCCTTTTGCTCCCATCAGGTAGGCGAGTAGAGCCATCACCTGTTGAAGGGAAGTTGAGGGGGGTTGAAAGGAGTTGAAGGGGGTAGTTGAAGTGAGTTCAGTTCACCAGCACGGCGTTGGGCACGATGATGAGATGTGGGCCGTAGTTTCCCTTTTGCTCCCATCAGGTAGGCGAGTAGAGCCATCACCTGTTGAAGGGAAGTTGAGGGGGGTTGAAAGGAGTTGAAGGGGGTAGTTGAAGTGAGTTCAGTTCACCAGCACGGCGTTGGGCACGATGATGAGATGTGGGCCGTAGTTTCCCTTTTGCTCCCATCAGGTAGGCGAGTAGAGCCATCACCTGTTGAAGGGAAGTTGAGGGGGGTTGAAAGGAGTTGAAGGGGGTAGTTGAAGTGAGTTCAGTTCACCAGCACGGCGTTGGGCACGATGATGAGATGTGGGCCGTAGTTGCCCTTTTGCTCCCATCAGGTAGGCGAGTAGAGCCATCACCTGTTGAAGGGAAGTTGAGGGGGGTTGAAAGGAGTTGAAGGGGGTAGTTGAAGTGAGTTCAGTTCACCAGCACGGCGTTGAGCACCATGATGAGATGCCGGCCGTAGTTGCTCTTGTGCTCCATCAGGTAGGCTAGTTGGGCCATCACCTGTTGTGTCGAGATGAAAGGTTTTGAGGGGGTATGCAAGTGCACTTGTACGGGTGTGACCCAACACAGCCCATCGGTGTCACATCTAATTAGCACTGTACTGAGACTCTCAGTAGCGCACTGCACCTACGAGAACCGCACTGCACGCACCTGCACTGTCTTCCCAAGGCCCATCTCGTCCGCCAGAATGCCATTGAGCCGGTTGTTGTACAGCGATACCATCCACTGCAGCCTCACCTGCACTGTCCTCCTGAAACACATCATCCACCTGCACCTACCAGCACCGCACTGCACACACCTGCACCGCACTGCACCTATCAGCACCGCACTGCACCCATCCAGCACCGCACTGCACCCACCTGCACCGTCTTCCCCAGGCCCATCTCGTCCGCCAGAATGCCGTTGAGGCGATTGTTGTACAGCGATACCATCCACTGCAGCCCCACCTGGTTACCACCACGGGTATAGGGTTGGGAAAGAAAAGGAAGGAGAATTACTTTGTAATGGAACAAATACTAGCAAAGCAACTGCACCTGGCACGTGAAAATGCTGATCGGTTAAAGTCGCAGGAATTCACCCAGCACCAAATCATTATTTTTAGACTCCTCATACTAACATAACAGACTGAATGGCACAAGTTCAAGAGAAGTAAACGGGACGTCACTCACCATCTGGTATTCCCTTAGGGTGCCCATGCGCAGCATGGAAGGCTGGTGAGTAATGGTCTCTGAAACTGAGTGAGCCAGCTTGTAGTACCTGAATGGATGTGACAATAGCGAAGGGGATGTAAGGGGACTGAGCAGCAAAAAAAAAAAAAAAAACAACAACGCTTCCCCCTCATTCACCCACCCAAAAAAAGAACAAAGAAAAAACATGTCACGCCACTATTATAGCGCCCCACTTTCTCAGGGTAAATCACCAAACCACCCCTCATATTCCCCTCACTTGGACACGGCAGCCGCTCCTGTCTCCCCTCCAACCCCGTCTCCCTCGGGACCGTCGTTGCGTGACAGGCTTGCCACCACCCTCTGCACATACGCCTCCACCTCCTCCTCGCTCATCCCCTGTGGGAGAGAACGAGAAGAGGTGGGAGTGGAAGTGGGTGAAGAGGGTGGGAGAGCACTGGCATGCGGAAGCAGGGACATGGCTGCTTGTGTGACAGGCTTGCCACCACCCTCTGCACATACGCCTCCACCTCCTCCTCGCTCATCCCCTGTGGGAGAGAACGAGAAGAGGTGGGAGTGGAAGTGGGTGAAGAGGGTGGGAGAGCACTGGCATGCGGAAGCAGGGACATGGCTGCTTGTGTGACAGGCTTGCCACCACCCTCTGCACATATGCCTCCACCTCCTCATCGCTCATCCCCTGTGGGAGAAAGAAACGGGAAGGGAGGGGTGAGAGTGATGGAGGAGAGGGGAGCGAGAGAAGTGGGATGAAGAGGCAGGGACATCGTTGCCCACCTTTATTTAGTCGGCTCAAAAGTCACAACACCCCACCCCACCCCACCCCACCCCACCCTGCCCTTTCACTCACCTTCTCCCTGGCTTCAGCAGCAGCAGCCACTGCCACTTCTTCCACCTCTTGAACGCTCTTCGCTGCACAGATCTTTCCCCCGAGCTTCCGCAAACCTGGAAGCCTGAATCCTATTCAAGACAAGCTGAGCATTTCAACCCTGACAGAGCCTTCATTCATGGCGCACCCCGCCTGCTCACCTTCTCCCTGGCTTCAGCAGCAGCAGCCACAGCAGCCTCCTCCACCTCCTGAACGCTCTTAGCCGCGCAGATCTTCCCCCCGAGCTTCCGCAAATACTCCTCCGTCTGGCTCAAAAACGAGCTCAGCATCTCAAACCGCTCCTTTGCACCCTTCCCAACCCCTGCCTTCTCCTTCTCCTCTTCCAGCATCGCTCTATAAGCATCCATGTCGTTACTCTTCAGTAACATCTCCACCCGCCGCTGCCGTTCCTCCTCTCGCCTCCTCGCCGCCTCCCTCGCCGCCTGCTCGTGGAACCTCACTACGTGCCGATTCCGTGCCGCCCGGCCGTCCCGCGCTGCCAGCTGGCGGTCGGCGAGGATCTGCCGCCGGGCGGCGAAGACGGCCTTGAGCAGCCGGTCCCGGGCGGCGCGGCGCGTCACGGCGTGCGACTTGGCGATTTCGGCTCGTTGCCGGTGGGCCCAGCGGAGGAAGGAGCGGTAGGGGCGGTCGGGCATGGCCTGGATCTCCTGCTCCTCTGCCACCAACTCCCTCCTGACCTTCGCCTGCACACAGTTAGTGGGGAAAAGGGGAGATCTTATTGTCAGCGGAGGAAGGAAGGAGCGGTAGAGGGGCGGTGGGGCATGGCTTGGATCCAGTGGGCCCTAGGTTTGCACATGCCCGGCTCGTTGCCGGTGCGCCCAGCGCAGGAAGGAGCGGTAGGGGCGGTTGGGCATGGCTTGGATCTCCTGCTCCTCCACGACCAACTCCCTCCGAAGCACACACTGAAAACCACCTGATCACACAGCACCTGAAAACTCACCTGAAAGTCGGCAAGCCGCAGCATCTTCTGATGAATCCGAAGCTTGAGACGATCCCTTGGCGTCAGCACCACCCCAGAGGCATCACCAGCACCACCAGTACCACCACTATTCCCTTCCTCTTTCTCCACCCCATCTCCGCCTCCCCCCTCCGCTCTCTCCTCCCGCTCATCCTCCCCTCCTGTGAGCGGCAGCAGCGGGGGCAGGTCCTTGTCAGGCATGACACTTGGTGCAGCAGCAGGGGGAGGAGTTGAATTACCCGGAGTGAGACGCACAGCACCCAGAGCAGCAGCGGGAGGAATAGAATCAGCAGCAGCGGGAGGAGTTGAATCAGCAGCAGCGGGAGGAGTTGAATCAGCAGCAGCAGAGGGAGGATGAGGATGATCCTCTCCCAGCAGTCGAGCAATCTCCTGTAGCCGAGCCTCCCTGTTGGCCCGCACCATCCGCCCCACCTCCTCCCGAACCAACCCCTGCAGGTTCGTGCCGAACCACACCTGCCGCAGCGCCGCCCGAACCTCCTGCTGGCTCATTCTCGCTATAGCCTCGGCCACTCTCGCTTTTTGACTGGACTCATAAGCCCCACGCATCCCTGTCCCTCCTGCTTCTACTACCGCTCCTGCCGCTCCTGCTACCCCTCCCATTTCTCCGATTCCTCCTCCTCCTGCTCCATCTCCCCCCCCATCTTCTCCTGTCCCTCCTCCCCCCAACCCATCCATCCCCTCAACTGCAGAACCCAAGACTATCTCTTCAGCAGCAGCAGCAGCAGCAGCAGCAGCAGCAGCAGCAGCAGCAGCAGCTCCTACCCTGTTCTTCCTGCCTTCCTTACCCCCCATCGCTGCACGAATCAAATCCCCAAACCCTCCCGCGTTACTCCTACCACCCGCCCCCGTCGACCCTGCTCCAAAACCCCCTACAAAACCCCCAGAAACACCCCCAGAAGCACCCACCCCTGCTTCTGCACCTTCCCCAGCACTATCTCCCGTACCCCCTGCACCACCTTCAGCTATTGCAGCTTGAATAAGAGCTCTGAACCCTAGCGCCTCCCCAGCAGCACCCACTGCCGCGCCAGCAATGGCAGCAGGAGAGGGGGGCGGCGGGGGTGTCGGAGGCTTGGGGACAGCTGCGGCTCGGGCCGGACCTCCAGCCGAGCCGACGCCCGGGCCTCTTGCCGAACCTGTAGCTCCGACAGCAGCCATAGAGGGGATTGAAGCTGAACCTTGTACAGGTGCACCTGATGCTGCTCCTGCTGTTGCTGCTACTGGTGCGCCTCCCTTTGCAGCAGACCCAATTTGACCCTCTTGCATCCTGCCACCTGTTAAGACAGCAGCAGCGGCAGCAGCAGCAGCTGCTGCTGCTGCTGCACCTGCAGCAGAACCAGGTAAAATTGCACCTCCAACACGCCCCTTGCCGCTGCCAGCACTGTTAGCAGCAGCAGCAGCTGCAGCAGAAGCAGGGCCCTTCACCACTGCTCCTGCTTGCTGCTGGCTCAAACCAGTCTTTGCAGAAACCTGAGCTGCAGCAGCAGCAGCCGCAGCAGCAGCAGGGTTTAGGGTTCTGGTAGGACCAGCTAGTACTGGTGTATTCAGCCCTGCGCCCGTGGCAGTAACACCTGCTGCTCCCGCTGCAGCTGCTGCTGCTCCCGCTGCTGCTGCTGCGGCTGCGGTTACAGCAGCATGTCCCTTCATCTGGGCATTGGTATTTTCCTGCTGAAACTGCTGTTGCTGCATCTGCTGCATCTGCTGCTGCTGCTGCTGCTGCTTTTCCTGGAGCAGTTGCAGCAGCAAGCCCTTGGGAACCTCTTCCTTGCTTCTCCTCCCCCTTCCTCTTCCCCTTCCCCTTTCCTCCCCCTTCCCCTCCCCCCGCCTGCTCCTGCTTCTCCCCACCTTCCTCCCCCTCCTTCCTCTTCCGCTCCTCCTCTTCCTTCTGCTTCCTCTCTCGCTCCTGCTGCTGCAGCAGCAGCCTCTGCTCCCTAAGCTCCTTCCTCCTCCTCTTCTTCGCATCGGCCTTTCGTTGCTTCCTCTCCTCGTCTGTCAAAAGCACACGTCCTCCCCTCCCAATCACCCTACCGGCAGGGGCAGCGGCAGCGGCAGTGGTACCAGCACCAGCAGCAGCAGCTGTAGCAGCAGCACCAGTTGTAGCAGCTGTAGCAGCTGTAGCAGCAGCGGCGGTGGCAGCGGTGACAGCAGCAGAAGCAGCAGCAGGAAGAGAGGTGGAAACCGGAGCAGCAGCAGCAGCTGCTGCAGCCGAGGCTGCTTGTGCCTGTGCCTGAACACCCTTCTGCCGTTGCTTCTGCTGCTTCTGCTGCTGCTGCTGCTGTTGCTGCTTTTTGCTGCATCAACCCAGGAGCAGCACCAGCAGCACCACTACCACCACCAGCGCCAGCAACAGCAACAGCAGCACCAGCTGTAACAGGAACAGCCAAACCACCGCCTACAGCCACCCCCTTTACAGCAGCAGCTCCTGCTGCTCCTGCTGCCCCCACGCTCTTCACACCCACGCCAGCTGCACCACTACCAGCAGCAGCAGCACCAGCACCCGCACTTGCAGGGGCAACAGATGCAGAAGCAGCAGCAGCAGCAGCAGCAGCAGCAGCGGCAGCAGCAGCAGCAGTAGAAGCCACAGCAGTGGCAGCAGGCTGTGCGCGCCTAAGGTTGGGCGGCAGCGGGGGAGGCGTGATTGAGTTGAGAATCTCAGGGGGAAGCTGCAGATCCCCACGCTGCAAACAAAGACAGGAAAAAAAAAGGGCACTAGCCCACATTAGCCCATGCCAAGCAACACGGCCGAGGATTATCAAAACCGAAAGTGAATGTCAAATGCCCACTGGATTGGATTGGATTGGATTGGATCATGCCACAGCACACACAAAGCATACCTTGAGGCGCCTGAATGCGAATATCTGCGCTCGCAGAACGGCCAGCTGAGCCTTGGTGAACCCGTTGGGCTGCGCTTGGGGCACCATAGGTTCGACTCCGAATTCAGAGTCAGCTTATCCACTGGATCGTGCCACAGCACACACACACTCGCCCTACCTTGAGCCGCCTGAATGCGAATATCTGCGCTGGCAGAACGGCCAGCTGAGCCTTGGTGAAGCCGTTGGGCTGCACTTGGGGCGAGCGATTATCAAGTCGCCTCAACACTCAAAGTGAGCTCTACATAATGCCACAGTACAGCCAGCCACAGCATACCTTGAGCCGCCTGAAAGCGAATATCTGCGCTCGCAGAATGGTCAGCTGAGCCTTGGTGAAGCCGTTGGGCTGCACTTGAGGCGAGCGATTATCAAGTCGCCTCAACACTCAAAGTGAGCTCTACATAATGCCACAGTACAGCCAGCCACAGCATGCCTTGAGCCGCCTGAAAGCGAATATCTGCGCCCGCAGAACGGTCAGCTGAGCCTTGGTGAAGCCATTGGGCTGGGCGGCAGCTGGGGCGACTTTCAAGTCGACTCAGTGCTTCAAGTGGGTGGGATACCACCAAACACACAACATACCTTGAGGCGCCTGAAAGCGAATATCTGCGCTCGCAGAACGGTCAGCTGAGCCTTGGTGAAGCCGTTGGGCTGCACTTGAGGCGACTTTTGAGTGACCTCAGCGCTCAGAGTGGGCATACCTTGAGCCCGCCTGAAAGCGAATATCTGTGCTCGCAGAACGGTAAGCTGCGTTTTGCGACGTCCCAAAAGTCGTCTACACACACACAGCATACCTTGAGGCGCCTGAAAGCGAATACCTGCGCCCGCAGAACCGTCAGCTGAGCCTTGGTGAAGCCGTTGGGCTGCACTTGAGGCGACTTTTGAGTGACCTCAGCGCTCAGAGTGGGCATACCTTGAGCCGCCTGAAAGCGAATATCTGCGCTTGCAGAACGGTTAGCTGCGTTTTGCGACGTCCCAAAAGTCGTCTACACACACAGAGCATACCTTGAGGCGCCTGAAAGCGAATATCTGCGCTCGCAGAACGGTTAACTGTGCCTTGGTGAACCCGTTGGGCTGCACTTGAGACGCCTCGTCCTCTTGCTCCTTCCTTGATGCTTCCTGCTGCTGCTGCTGCTGCTGCTGCTGTGGTGGCTGCTGTTGCTGTTCTTTCTTTCCCTGCTCCTGCTCCTGCAGCTGCAGTTGCTGCTGCTGTTGTCTCTTCCTCTGCCTCTCGGTTTGCTTCTTCTTCACTTGTCCTTTCTTGCCTGTTTGCTCGGGGTCTTGTTGTTGCTGCTGCTGCTGCTGCTGCGAATCTTGCAACTGCTGTTGCTGCTGCTGCGAATCTTGCAACTGCTGTTGCTGCTGCTTCGACAATTCCTGCTGCTGCTGTAATTGCTGCAGCTGCTGCTGCGGTTGCTGTAACTGCTGCTGCTGCTTCTGTTGCTGTTGCTGCAATTGCTGCTGTAATTGCCGCTGCTGCAAACCCTGCTGCTGCTGCTGTTGTTGTTGCTGCTGTTGTTGTTGCTGCTGTTGCTGTTGTTGTTGACGTTGCTGCAGCAGCAAAAGCTGCTGCTGTTGCTGATACTGTTTCTGTTGCTGTTGCTGCTGCTGTTGCTGTTGTTGCTGTTGCTGCTGTTGCTGTTGCTGTTGCTGCTGCTGCTGCTGCCGTTGCTGAAATTGTTGTTGCTGTTGCTGCTGCTCCTGTTGTTGCTGTTGCTGATACTGTTGTTGCTGCTGTTGCTGTTGCTGTTGCTGTTGTTGCTGTTGCTGTTGCTGTTGCTGCTGTTGCTGCTGCTGTTGCTGTTGCTGTTGCTGTTGCTGTTGCTGTTGCTGTTGCAGATACTGTTGCTGTTGCTGTTGCTGTTGCTGCTGCTGCTGCTGTTGCTGTTGCTGCTGCTGCTGTTGCTGTTGCTGTTGCTGTTGTTGTTGCTGTTGCTGCTGTAATTGCCGCTGCTGCTGCATACCATGCTGCTGTTGCTGTTGCTGCTGCTGCTGCTGCTGCTGTTCCTGCTGCTGCTGTTGCTGTTGCTGCTGCTGTTGCTGTTGCTGTTGCTGTTGCTGTTGCTGTTGCTGCTGTTGTTGCTGTTGCTGCTGTTGTTGTTGCTGTTGCTGTTGCTGTTGCTGTTGCTGTTGCTGTTGCTGCTGTTGTTGCTGTTGTTGCTGCTGTTGCATCAGTTTCTGTTGCTGTTGATGTTGCTGAAACTGCTGCTGCATCTGTTGCATTTGTCTTTGTCTTTGAATTTGTAACAAAAGCTGCTGCTGCTGCTGCTGCTGCTGCTGCTGCTGATGCTGCGCCCCTTGTAACCCCCCTTGCGCACCTTGCACTCCCCCCCTTGCACCTTGCACGCCCCCTTGCGCCCCCTGCGCCCCTTGCGCACCAACCTGCGCCCCTTGCACTCCCCCCTGCGCCCCTTGAACGCCCCCTTGCGCCCCCTGCGCTGTTTCCACACTCCCCTGCGCCCCTTGCGCGCTAACCTGCACCCCTTGCACTCCCTGTTGAGCCCCTCTCGCGCCCCCTTGCGCCCCTTGCATCCCCACCTGCGCCCCTTGCGCTCCCCCCTGCACACCTTGCGCGGAGGCCATCCTCCTTCCGCCAGAGGCAGCAGCTTGCTGCGCCAGCACCCATCCCGCCTGCCCCACTCCGCCCTGCCCCATAACGCCCGCTCCCTGCCCCATACCGCCCTGCCCCACTCCGCCCTGTCCCATAACGCCCGCGCCTTGGCTCATAACCCCCTGCCCCATGCCGCCCATGATTACCCTACCAGGACCAGCCGTACCAGCAGCCCCGGCCGGACCAGCAGCTCCGACCATACCAGCAGCCCCGGCCGTAGCACCAGTGGCTTTAGCAGCAGCAGATGCAGCAGCAGCACCTGCTACAGATACGCCTCCCCCAAGTGCGCCTGTGCTTGCTGTAGCTGCCACTGCTGCTGTTGTGCCTGGCCTAGCGGCTGTAGCAGCGGAGACGGCAGCACCAGCGGCTGCTGCTACAGCAGCTGCAGCAGCAGGAGCTGGGGCACTCGCAGCAGTAGGTGCGGCGGGTGCCTTAGAAGCAGCATCGCCAGCACCAGCAGAAGCAGACGCAGCCGCAACAGCAGCTGCCGAAGCATTGGATGAACCTGCACCCTTTGCAACTGCTGCTCCTCCTGCTCCCCTTACTGCGGCACCTGTTCCCATGGTTCCTGCTATCCTCCCTGGCTTAGCAACAGGGGTAATAGGCTGGATAGAAGCTGCTCCGCTAACAGTAGAAGCCGGGCTGCTTGCTGTAGCGCGTACAGCCCCAGGCAGCACCAGCGCGGAACCAGCCATCCCCCCACCGCTCATTCCGCCCATCCCCGCGATTCCCTGCGATATTCCTCTCATTCCCCCCGCTCCCTGTGCAATTCCGCCCATCCCCGCGATCCCTTGCGCCATTCCCCCGATCCCAGCCGTTCCTTGCGCCAACCCACCTGGCATGCCACGGGGAACGACTCCTGCCCCCGTCCATCCCGCACCCGCGGAAAACCCGCGCAAGCCTTCCCCTCCTGTGGCTTGGCCCCCTGCGCCTTGAACCGCATTTCCTCCTCCGCCACCGCTTGCGCCAGTTGCTGCGGCGCCAGCTGCGGCGGAAGTTGCGGAGGAAGCTGCGGTTCCGACGTTCGCGGGGCTGATGGGCGCGAAGAAGGGCCTTAGCGGAGGATACACCTTCGGTTGGGGGAAAGCGGAGGCGGAAGAGGGGGTTGCAGCCCACGCGGGGGACATGAAGCGCGGAAGAGGCGCGGGGACCCATGGCGCGCCAGGGGGAACGGAAAACAGGGGGATATTGTGACCCGGGTACGCCAAGGCTGGAGTTCCCAAGGGTCTGGGTCCAACAGGGTTGAACTGGTTGAATTGCGTTGACCCGGGCACAGCAGGTGCTCCTGACGCTGCTGGCGAAGCTTGCGCTGCTGACGTGGATGGTGCTGACGTGGGTGCTGCTGGCGTGGCTTGGCCCGTGGATGAGCCCATCGGCGTCGTCGGCCGAGCAGCGTTTTGGTTGTTTTCCATGTCGACCGCCGCGTCGACGAATTGCGACTACAGCGATTTAAAGTCCCGTATGTCGTACGATTGTTCGCGAAAACGTCGGGAAGCTAGAATTGGCATCCTATCAAACCCTAAGTAGAAAGTCTGGCGGAGACCCGCCGACCCACACGTTTAGAACGGAAGCCTATCCTCTGCCACTATAAATGCTCTCTAAGAAAAGCGTTTAAACCCGCGTCCCATATTTCCTAGTGTATTACACTTGGTTGGGCTAAAGCGCATGTGATTGGGTAACGATAGACGAGATTTGTGACGAGCAGGTTGGAAAACAGAAACGACCCCTCAGTTCGTCTACGCAAAAGCCAAACGAGCCCCTCAGGCATGGAAAGCTCCCACACCTAGAAAGCAGATCCGGCAGTTCCATGCGACCAACTGAAACGACGACACAAAGTCGCCCGCATTCCCCAGGAAAAGCAGAGCAAAACTCTCAGCCGTCAGTCTTACTACCTCCGCTTGGTATCTAGAGTGCTTGAAAAGCATCTAACGAAAGACTAAACTGGAGATCTCGAGGTAGACAAAACGAGCCTTCAAGGCAACCGTTGGAACGGCTTGCCAGTTTCCTTGCGTGCATCGAACTCGCTCACCGATCTGGGAAGTTCAAGTACCGAACGAAACCGCTAGCTGGCTGGGAAGTGTTTGAGGTGCTTGATTTCACGCATTCAAATCAAACTCTTCGAACGTACAGTCCTGAGTTGCACGGAAAAGCATCATATATGATGGATAGTACCAGAAAACCTAAAACGGCTTTTACAATTTCTATTAGTTCAAGCCAACAAACAGTACCTCAGTAAGATGCATTGTCACAATGCACAGCAGATGAAGTAATATAAAACCTCTCTATAAGATGGATATTGGTATCCTTTAGGGGCTACAAGTTGCAATTAGTGAACTCTACATGCACAAGCTATACAGTGGTTTAGGAAAAAACATGCACTTCCACCTCCCTGTTGAACCTAACTCGTCGGTCCAAGGACCGTGTGCGATTGATTATGCCTTCGTCCTTCAGACAAAGTATTGACTTGGGAACGCCACAGGCAACTGCTGCTGCCGCCGATTCCGTAGCCCAGCCGGCCCCGCTCGACAGTATACTGTTGTCCGATCGAGTTGTCATGAGGTTTCGGTTCATCACGCGCTGGAGGTCTGGAGAGCATACAGGAGAACACTCTAAAGGGGACAGGAGGATCCCTTTCCCCTTGGAAAATCTCCTTCGTGGCGATGCGGAAGCAGCCCCCCCTCCTGAAACTGCTACTGTATCTGCTGCTGCTGAAATTGGGGCTGAAAGAAACCTGAAATCTTCTACACCCATTTGTAAAAACTTTTGAACCATCTGCTGCTGCTGCTGCTGCGTCAGTTGCTGCTGCTGCTGATGCTGCAGTGAACTAAGGCCAGAGGCAGTGTGCAAGGGGGAAAGGCGCGGGGCCACACGGGGAGAAAGGGGGGACGGGCCGCGTGGGGACAGGGGGGAGAATCCTCTGGGGGAAAGCGGGGAAGGGCCTCTAGGGGAGAGCGGGGAAGGGCGACGTGGGGAGAGGGGAGAAGCGCGAGGGGAGAGGGGGGAGGGGCGACGAGGAGAGAGGGGGGGAGCGCGAGGGGAGAGGGGGGAAGGGCCCCAGGGGGAGACTGGCGGAGGCATGCAGGGGGAGAGGGGGGAAGGATGGTGGTTGGAAAGAGGGGAGGGACCACGGGGGGAAACCAAGCGCGGGGATAAGGGGTAGGGGCCCCTGGGGAGAAGTGGCGACGGACGGATAAATGGGTTCTGATCGGTTGGAATGGTAATGACAGCGCGTGGTTTCGAGATGTTGCGACCGCTGCCACTGCCCGCCATTCCCGCGCCGCCACGCGATTGGGCCCCTGCTCCCTCGCAATCCGCCACCTCAGAGATCTCCATGTCCGAAGCGCTCGGTCGGCGCTCGTCCTTGTTTCCGGAACAGTCTTTGTTTTCGCATTTCGCCATGTCGATGCTGCCAGAGGGGCTAGAGTCCCTGCTGCTGCTGTTGCTGCCGCTCCCATCGCATCCTTGCCCGAGCCTCGATTTCCTCCCGACCCTCGCAGCCCCGAGGCTCTCCACCACTGCCGAACCGGACGCACAGGCTTGGAGCAGGCTCGGCGAATCCGCGCTGCCGCGAACCGGCTCCGAAGGCTTGGCGACGTTGTCTGTCTCATTTCGTGCGATTACCGGGAAAACAGGCTTTGCTCTGCTGCTGCCACGTGGCACGGTTTGCCCGTCTGACATGGACCTGGGGAACCTCATCGCTGCGCTTCCGCGTGGATTTGCATGCGGGGGGCTTTTGCGCAGCGTAAACTGCGCGCCCGTACCGGAAAACGCGGAGGGAGGAGACACGGAAAGCGAAGAATTGGCGCTGTTGATCTGGCTGATTGAGGGGAAACAGAACGGCGCCTCACCCTGCGGCGGCAAGCGCGCCGGCGGCGCAACCATCGTGGGCGGCGCGGCCAACGTACGCGGCGCAGATCCCGGCTGCACAGCTCCCGCCCCCACCGTCGACGCTGGGGACGTCGATCTCGTTCGAGCCGCGGCGCCCGAGCCGCGGCCGTCGCCGCCGACTTTGGACCTGCCGGCCTGGAGGGCCATTAGGTCGGCGATCCCGAGTGCCGCCCGCCGACTCGGCGATGGCCGCGGCCGGCAGACGCCGCCGGCTTGGGAAACGGCGGCAGGAGCGGATTTGTCGGTGCTTTTCGCGCGACTCTGCCGCGGCATCGTCGGCGTGCCGGCGTTTGTCGCCACGACGTCCCGCAGCGGCATTGGCGGCGTTTCTGGGGATAATGCGCGCGACGCCGTTTTCTGCAGCGAATCGGGGCGACTCGTGAATGCGCCGCGCGACGATACTACCCCGGGAGATGCGGCGGCAGCGGGAGATGCGGAAACGCTTTCATTAGAGGCAAGCGAAGGTGAATGGAGCCACAATCGAGCGGCGGTTAGCGAATCGAATTGCTCCGAAGGCTGCTTCTGGTGGCTCATGAAAGCAACGTCGGATTTCTTCGATGCTGACGTGTGCCGCCCGCTACTAGGAACAGGGATAAAGTCAAAACTAGCCGCCCTACCGTGCAACGCGCCGCCCCTGTTACTATACGCTGATGGGAAAGCAGCATGAGGGGCGTATGCTGAAGGGTAAGTGGCCGCCTCTGGCGCCGCCGATGCTGACGTGGCAGTCTCCGTCATGGCGCCGAAATTGTCACCAGGAAACGCGCCGCAGCTCGCGGCGGCCGTGGCGGTGCGGTAGCTGGGAGCTGATGCGGGCGGAGCCGTGGAATCTGCGTAATTGCAAGCGGAGCGCGACCCGCCGTCGTATGGATGCGGACGCGGCGCCGGCGAATGAGATGTAAAGAGATTCGGTCGTGCGGGATCGCGCGGGAAGGGCTGAGCTCTGGAATGCCGCTCAACGGGGAGTGCAACTTCAGCTGACATGTCACTTAGTGTCGCGGAAAAGCCAAGTACAACAGTTAGGGTGGAGATCAAAAGTGTACAGCGCAGCAGCTAAGTGAAGATCTAAGAACGACGATGTAATCCAACGGGATGGTAGAAATGAGATACGATAAAGGAGGGTGGGATAGTTTATCAGCTGGCTTCGGGTAGTAGGCTTGCGGATGAAAGGCGAGCGCTCCTACCTGCTTTCAGGAGAGTCAGGCGGGGGCTGAGCTGAGATTGACGGCCATGGATGAGAGGGGGGAGCAGAGGGTGGGTGAGAGGGTGTTGGAAATTCGCACGACGTGAGGTAACGCAGAGGGGAGGGCTGTTTTTCTCGCAGTGGGCGATTGTTGCAATGTGCAGCTGTCAATCAGACGAGCGGTTTGGTGTAGCTGACGCGGGGAGGTGGGAGAATGAGAAGAGAGGGAAGGGAAAAAGGGTTGATGGGGTCGGGACGGGAAATTACGGTGGCACTGGTGCGGTACTGGGCGGGCTAGACGATGCCTTCGTACACGGAAAGTTGTTCCGAAACTACCCCATATAAACAGGGATTTTTTCGCAACTACTTTAGCCTGTCTTGGCCTCAGAAATTTCCCTACCAGCGTTGACAGTGCCACAAAGCAACAGTTTCTCAAAACTCACAGCTTGACGAGGGTGGGAGGAGGGATGACCGTGGTCCCAACATGAAACTTAAGCTCTCATTAAACTGTAGCTTTGCACAGTGTGTGTACAAATGCACACTGTAGTAGCAAATAGTGAAAGCACAGTGAAGGGCGACGAAGGTCAGAAGCCCCGCCCACATTAGTTCCATCACGAGCACAGTGGTCGAGTATGTGACAGCTGTTGCAGCGCCTGGGAGGAGGACAGCGCAACAAGGTGAGAGCACAGGCGCGAGAGGCCGGTCAAAGCGACAAAGAAGACACATGGCGAAATGTACACCTGATGCCTGTTTCCGTCCCCTTTTTCATCTTTCCTTGTGCTCCTCTCTCGAGCAAGCGCTCGCTAGGGGCAAAATGGGACTGAACGCAGAACACTCAACTACAGTGGCCAAATTTTTGGGTAGCCCAACGTGTTTTGTCTGGGAAACTCGATTAACTTATTCGAGGTAAAAAAAGAATCTTGGTTTTGTCGTGGGCAAGTAACGCGCGGGCCGTTGGCAGTGAATGTCGACCACTGGGCGTATGGAGTGGCAGTCAAAATGTTCAGAATGGGCGGTTGAGTGAGCATTAGGGTGTACTGTAAGATGTTTCCAGGGAGTTTTTTCCCGACAATTCCTGGTGTCGAACGCTTTCCTAGAGGATGTCCGTGCATTTCAGCCCTCGGATCGAAGGTTCCGACCGTCAGGATTCGCCGACATCCCCTAATGGATGTCGACGGATGTCGACGTTTCACTTCGGACACACCCTAAGAACGAACTGTAACCTAAAGTACAACCTTCTACTGTATTTTCCCATGAAAGTGCAGTCAGGGAGGAGTGAGTACAGTACAGTACCTAAAGCTGTACAAGTGTTCTTGTTTAGAGGCCTTATTTTGCAAGTCCCATTTTCCCCTTGAGTATAATTTTCCGATAAGTCCTAGGTGTATCCCCTACTCAATGGCCCCAGTTTTGGCAGGAATTTCGCTGCAGCCATTCAGAGGACTCGAATTGAACCAGACCAGCTCGCTCGGAATTTACCAAGACTGGAGGGTTTTTACATATCAAAATTATGTTACAATATCATGTCGTGCTTATATTGACCGCGTTCCCACCGCGCTCGACGATGCCATTCCGAGAAGCTTGCTGACCGGCAAAAAAAAACCGCAAACCTCAAAAATATGTGAACAAACACTAAGGTTTTATGTTTTTCTGCCCGCTGGTAACGGGACGATGACCAGCGCCGAAAACCATGCGATAGGGATTTGAAACAAGCGTGGTTTGACTTGTAAAATTGATGGCGAAACGGAAATAAAACATCTACATGTCTACCGCTTTTCATGTAATTAATCTGGATTTTTCGGGCTATAGTCCCGTTTGCTCGGTGTTTGAGAAATTCTGCCACATAGTCCGCGCGCGGCGTGTTTCTCCGTCGGACTTTAAACGAGAACATTTGTACACCCATGTCGTACGTTCATTCATGAATTTACACTATATTCTTGATAGAGTGGCATATGTTATACTGACCGAGACGCTTTGTGTAGCCGCAACGGACCAAAGAAGGTCCTATCACATGCGTTATAGTGACAATTTCACCCAAGGCGTGCAGTCAAGGTTTAAAACTTTAAAAAAATGGTACTGTTGTTTTCCAAACGGTTGGGACGGTTATTCGGCGTTAACGGTTGTTTACTGCCCAAGGCTTGCCTCGTCACCTACTGCGACTTTGCCCGCAACCGAGTTATCGCACCAGCCCGCTACGTCCAAACACTGTAGCCAGTGCTTCCGCTGGTGAGAGTGCTGAGAACGAGGGTGTAATCGCCCATTTGACACTTCAGAAATTTCAGTAGGGCCTGAGTGGTGCCCCGCTTTCCGAGTCTGTAGACAACATGAGCCACCTGCCGAAGTGCCTCCCACGGCCCGATGACGGCCAGCGGCGGTGTTGCGCCAATCGAGGACGATTCCGCCTACCCTCCATGTCCTTCCAGCCACAAGCCGCCGAAGGAGGCGTCAGGCTGAGTCAGGCGGTTGCTTCGTTCACGCGCAGGCAGGGCGAGTCGCCAAATGTATCAGATCACACGCGGATCTGAGGGGATCTCGTGACAATATCCGCTTTATAACCGCACACGTAGGCAGTAGGAACAGAAGTTGACTTAAGATAGTATTATATTACAGTCGTACATAATACCAAAACACAAAAATTTGCAATAGCAAATACTGAAAATGCTTCTTGACTTTTGAGTTAGTGTGTGTAAAACAGTCATGTGTGAGGAGCGAACTTGTTTAGTCAGAGGCTGGTTTGTTTGCAGCCATCTCTCTTTCCGGCGTGAAGGGAATCTTCAACATGCTTAGAAACTTGGTCGTATGAGTTGCCATATGCGCCTCAGTCATTCCAAACAGAGAACCATGAGTGTTCTGCACGGTATGATACAGTAGGTTGGTAAGGGCAAACACGGGATTGTGAGAGAAAGTGAGATGGCAGTGAGTTAGTCTACGAGGAACGAATACGTATAAACATAGCCAAGAGTCATATCCTACATAAATGAAAATATATGTATCCTACATGTCCACGTACCAAGGGCAGCTCGGGCTGTTAGTCGCTTCTTCGGATCCCGCGTCAGCATCCTCCGTATAAGGTCCACTCCCTCCAACGATATATCGCGCCACGCCTCCCCTTTAAAGCACGGCTTCGCCTCTTTGATCGCCTTCATAATCCCAGCATCGGTGCGGGCCCAAAACGGAGGAACCCCGGAGAGCAACACATAAAGCACAACCCCTGCTGACCACACATCTGCTGGAATCCCATAGCTCCCTTCAATCACCTCCGGGGCGACGTAAAATGGCGACCCGACAAAGTCACACAACGGCTTCGCACCGGGCTTCACAACAGTAGCCACGCCAAAGTCAATGAGCTTGCATTCGGTTATCGAGTCCGGGCTTGTAAGGAGGACGTTTTCGGGCTTGATGTCGCGATGCACGATGCCACGCATGTGGCAGAATGCGAGAACGTCGAGGATGGTTCGCATGACCGGGACGGCTTCTCTCTCCTCATACCGTTTCTTCTCCTTTATCTTGTCGAAGAGCTCTCCTCCAGCACATAGCTCCATCACCATGTGAACACCCTGGAGGAGGGGGGGGGGGAGGGAGTAGGAGGGAGGAGGGGCAAGTTATGGTGAAGGGTGAGGGGATGAAGAAGTGAGTGATGGAAATGGATGGCATGAGAAGGTGTTATAAGGCAGTGTGCGTGTGCATACGCATGCACATGTGACTGTGCATGTGTACATGGATGTACATGTGCAAGTCCATGTCAGCTGTCTGCATCCATGTGAGCGTGGATGTCCACATGCACATGCATCCTCATGCTCACACCCCCACCTCTCATCCTCAAAAACTTTGCCAATGGGGCAATGTCAGAATCAGGACATAACGAGCATGTGCATGCCAATGTGCATACACTTTGTCTCCTCACCTCATCTTCAAACAGTTTCCGAAGCAAGACAATGTCAGGCCATAAAGTGAATAAAGTGCATGTGCATGCGAATGTAATGTGCATACATGTTGTCTCCTCACCTCCTCATCTTCAAACACTTCTTCGAGCCGCGCAATGCTAGGGTTGGGCCTCAAGGTCTCGAGCATCGAAACCTCCCTCCTGATATCCTCCAAGTCCGATTTGCTCTGAAGTAAAAGGGTCAGGGTAGGGGGGAAAAGGGGAGAGAGAAAGGGAAAGGGATTGAGTGAGAGAAAGGTGTGATTCACAGAAGCGTTTGAGTGAGGGGAGTGAGTGAGCGAGGGAAGGGAATAAGGGGAGAAGCGAGTGAGGGAAAGGGGAGAGTAAGCGAAGGGGCTGGGACAGGGAAGGGTGTGGGTGAGGGAAATGAGCGAGGGGAGTGGGCGAGAGAAGCAGATAACAGCGAGAGGAGGTGTGAGAAGGGTTCACATCAAACAGCAAAGCTGCTAGTAATGCACCTTACCTTGAGATTTGCCTTGCATATTGACTTGCAGGCAAATTGCTTCCCCGTTTGTCGACACTTGGCCATCCGCGTCACGCCAAACTGGCCCGCCCCAAGCTCCTGATCCATCATGACAAAATACTTCTTCTCAATCGCGGAAAATTCCCTTCCCAAAACGTTTTCCGTCAACCCGCCTCCTCCTCCCAGCATCCCCGACAGTTGCGAGAGTCCGCGCATCGCAAAACCTAAAATCCCCTTCCCGCCGCCCTTGGCTTTGTAAAACGCGGATCGGATCTCCTCCACGCTGCAGACTTCGTCGTCTAGCGTGGCAGTCGCGGCGGCCGCGGCGGCGATGGAACCAATCCCGCTATTTCCGCTAGAAGCGGCGGAAGAAGTGGCGAGCTCGCCGGAGAGGGAGGAGAGCGAGCGCGCGACACGCGTCACGGGCGGAGAGGCTTTTCCGCCGAAAGACGCGGCGCCAGTTGCGGAGAAGGACTTGGGGACCTTCCCCCCTACCGGAGGCCCTCCCGCCGCTCCCGCCGCTCCGGGCGCCGCCGCCGCCGCTGTTCCCGCTGCTGCCGCCCCTACTGCTGCGGCGGCTTGTGCGGCCACGCCTGCCATATCGACCGACGCGGCGCGGGATTTAAGTACGAGCTTCCCCAGATGCGCACCGCTTGAGCAATCCAACGACTGCGTGCGCGCCACCGCGGCTTTGCCGCATCGCGCAGCTGGCGGCGCCTGTTGCCCTGCCGCCAATCGCGGGCAGGGAAGCGCGCCGGCCGGTGCGGAGGACGAGAAATCCGGCCCTGCCACTCCGCTTCCGCCGCCAGTCGCGGGGTTCTTCCGCAAGTTCTGGAGCGACTTGCGCGCAGCCGCGGCGCTTAGCGCGACGGGCTGCGGAGCGCCGGAAACTCGCGCGACTCCCGCCGGAGCGCCAGCCCCAGCACTAACGGCGCCGGCGGCGGCGGCGACTGCGGCGGCGGCGGAGCCGGAGACGAGGCTGCCTTGCCGGCTCGGGCCGAGCCTGGACCTTCCTCGAGCGGCGGCAGCGGCTGCTCCATCCCCGTTATTAGCCTCGCCGGTAGGGTTAAAGGGGACGTCGTTAGTAGCGTCGACGCTGTTACAGCGGCTGACACTTGGCGAGCTGCTATTGGAGTTGCACAGGCTCCTGCAATTCCGCGAGTCGGCTTGGAGATCTTCTAAGGACGTCCTTAATAGTTGGTCGACGTTCGAGCTCCCCCGGCGGTGGGGACGCTGGGGGGGAAGGCGCGCGGACGGGGACGCTGGGGAAAAGGATGCGCTGACGGAAGAACTCCCGCCATGGGGGGAAGGGGACATGGGGGACGTGGCCGCGTGCGGAGACCTGAGTGCGCCTGGCGGCGCTGCTCCGCGGACGTTCCGCTCGTCCCTCGGGCTCCGCTCACTCCGCTCCTCCCCGTGTTCCCCCTCTTCCCCTTCCGCCGACTCCGCTCCGCCGTACATATCCTCATCTTCCGCGTATCCCACCGCAGATGGGTTTGGGCCTCCCTGCTCGCTATAATCACAACCCGCGCCGAAGCGCTCGTCATCAATCGAACCACGTCGACGAATTTCTGGCCGTAGTTGCCCTTCCCGGGTGGACCTGCCCCCCGAAACTCGCGGGCTACTATCACCACTAACCTCCTTGCATTCTAGCATCCTCGTTAGTGACCTGTTGCTGGTTAACGAGCGCGTTTCCCCACCCGTTCCGCTCATCCCTCCTCCTCCGCCCATCCCTTCTCCTACTCCCATCCCGCCTCCTCCGCCCCCCGCAAATTCGCTCCGGGAGGATGTGGGGGAACGCATTCCCGCCCCCACGGGGCTCTTCAGCGGTGGCGGGGCCGCACTTCGCGGCGACGCCTGCGGCGGTCCGTGCGGCGATGCTTGCGGCGGCCCGTGCGGCGATGTCTGCGGCGGCCCGTGCGGCGACAATTGCGGTGGCAGCTGCGCGGGCGAGCCATACCCTGCATCAGCTTCCCCTGAAAACCCGGCCGGAAGACTCACCCTCCGACCCAAATTTCCAGGTCCAGGCGCTTGCCCCGTAGGGCCTCCGAACCTACCTTGCTGGTTCGTGCCCACCATCCCTGCGGCGCTGCTTCGGTTCGGCGGACCGGAAGCTCCCTGAAGGGCCGCGTTTCTCCTCCCAACCGGCAGCGACGTGTTTTTGTTAAGCTGCGGGGAAGCTTCCCCGATATTAATTCCCGGTCCGTGTTGACCCAACGGCCTGTTTTGATGCTGAAACTGCGCCGCATGTTGCGGCGGATGGCACGCGGGACCGTTCTGTTGACACGTCATCCCAGAGGACTGCCTCTGAATCTTCTGCGACAAAGCCGGAGGGCCCTTCATCTTAGAAAGATTAGGGTTCACGAGCTGCTGCAGATCATGATTCGATAGCCGTGGTCTGTCCTTCTTCTCTTTCTTGTCGCTTTCCGGGGCAGGCTGCTTCTCGTGAAGGTTCGGCCTGTTCAGTTTCCGCATAAGCTCCTGCGCCTTCGCCATCTGAAGCTCTGCCTTTGTCGGCGCCGGTTGCTGCGCGCCTTGCGGCGCGTGCTGTGGTCGCGCGTTCATTGTCATGCTCGCCGCCCCCGGCGCGGCGCCGTAGTGGCTGGGCGGCTGGTAAGAATTTATGTTGCCACCAACGGCGGGAGATAATCGCCGCTGGGAGCGCTGCTGAACGAGAGCCATCCGCGGTTGATTTGTTTTGGACTAAATCGCCGATTTGACTCGTCTGTGCGCGACGCGTTGCTGTGAAGCACCTGATCAGCGATTTATGGAACGAGTCGCGAATAAGACTGTCCCCGAAATTCAATACGACTGGGGATGGTTCAGGACGTTTGTCGCGTCACTACAAGGAGCGGAATTTTGATGCAAAATATCTTTTCGACGCAGCTCGCTGAGCATTTGACGGGAGAAAAACCTGAGCATTCGCTGAGTATTCGACGGAATGAAGAGCTCAACTTTTCACCTGAACCACGATAGAAAGCTCAACTTGTAGCTCAACTTTCACCTGGGAATTTGACGGAATGCAAAGCTCAAACTCACGTTGGAGCTCGAATGGTGGAAACAGAAAGCTAAGTGGCTCCTCAGTTGCTTGCTTTGGCTCTTGTGGTCGGAAGTTACTTAGGGAATTGCCTAACGAAACCGCGAAGAACCAAAGTTTGTATAAATTTCTCAAGGTGAAGATTCGGATTCGGATACGACGCGTGCGCGCGACGCGGTTCAGCCTTGGGTCTGGTTTGGTTGGTTTGAGTTTGGGTTCGGTTTTGTGTTTGGAGGGTGAAGGGGAGATGGGATCCAGGACGACAGATTTTGCAAGTTGTACAGCTTGAATGATTCGGATGCACCTGTGCCGATTTAGATGGAACGAAATGATAGGCCCTGCGGATACGTCACGGGCACAACGACACGGTGGATCTTCTGCCCTGAGGAGGTGACACGTTCACTTTGCAGACGAATCATGAGAGTGTTGCCAGTCACACACATCCATGTTTCCGTATCAAATCAGTTTGTGTCGGCGTGCGGGAAACGATTCACGTCACGTCACGTAGCAGTCAGCAGCACTGGGCAAGCAGCAGCAGCAGCCGTTCACTGAGGCCGCGCGCGCGATGAGTTTCATTTTCCAGAAGGGCGTGGTGCATAAGTGCTATTGTAGGGTTTCTAAGAGTATGTCAGGGTTTCAGAACGGTGAATTTCATGCTGCAATCATGAAACAGATGTTCCGTTTCATCTCCTCAGGCAAAGGGACATCAGACGTGGCACCGGCAAAGGCTGACGCGGTTACCAAGAACAGTGCTCTTCCTCATCAATGCGGCAGCAGGGGCAGGTGGAAGCATGAGGTGGCGACGAGTGGCCCGAGGCGGGCCAGGCTACTCGGTATCCTTTAAAAAGGGACTAGTTACAAGAAGAGCCGCCCAAGATTGTACTCGAAGCTGTAGGCGAAGCCATGGTAAGACATTGTCTAATCAATGTTTTTTTCGACCAGAAACCAGAACAAGAAACAAAACCGAAAAATAAAAGGTGAATTACTGTTTTCTGTGGTTGGTGAGCCATAAAAAGACGCACTTTGAAGTGCCAAAAAATAATTGCTAGGAGCCTCCATGAAGAAAAAATGGCAGATTAAATGGAACTCAGCATTATCAGCCTCGGGTTTAGGGCTTCGGGTTTGAAAGCGGATAGAATGGAAGCCATGGACGATAGTGCTGACAGTTTTAAAACGAGGGACACCAACGAGCTTCACAAGTTTTGAGACGTCTCAAAACACATCTCACGACCCAGCAGTTTTGACTTTGGGTTTCGGGTTTAATGGTGATGGATGATGGAGCTGACAAGAGAAACAGGGGCGCTACTGCGCTTGACAACCTTGGCAGTCTTGGCTTCTGCTTGGGCGGCCGCCGCCACAGTGCAGCTACTGTTGCAGCCTCTTGTGCTTGGGTGCTGATGGCCGATCTTGAAAATTCTCAAAAAACAACATGCTGCCGCCGTTGCTGCTTGTGCTGCTACTGCTGCAGTCTCTTGTGCAAGAGCAATGTACCACTCCTTCAAATTGTGCTGGCACCTGCGCTGCTGCTGCTGCTGCTGCTGATAGCACTGCCACTAGCGCACTGACACTGGTGCAGCTGCCTTGCATGCACCTGCAGTGGTGCTGCTACTGCCACCGATGCCACTCTCGCTTTGGAGAACCCAGTTGAGGTGCGTGGGTAGCAATAGCAGCGAACCTCGTTTTGAGGCGCCTCAAAACGATGCCACCGATGCCACTCTCGCTTTGGAGAACCCAATTGAGGTGCGTGGGTAGCAATAGCAGCGAACCTGCCACTGCTCAAACATCCTGGGTGCTCAAACATCCTTCTTCCATGGTTTTAAAATGGCAAGAAACTCCCTATTTTCACATTCACGTTACGAATGCCCGTTAAGTTAGCGCCTTGATCCACGGGTGTTCTGTTGGGAGCACAGGGTGAGAGTGAGAAAGGGAAGGGGAGAGGGAATGGAAGAGCGGATGAGAGAAGGTGAGAGCGAATGGAAGAGGGAATGGGAGAGTGAATGCAAGGGGGAAGGACAGACAAAAAGAAGAGGAGACGAAGGGGAAACAAGAGGTTCTGAAAGTGGTAACAAGAGGTGGAGACATGGGAGTACAAGCATAAAACAAGAACAAGAGAGGGAGGGAGGAAAGCAGAGAGAACCAAGGATACAGGTCTGGTGCACTCGGCGCAGGCCTCTGCTCGTACTTCCGGCACAGTATGCGGCGCAGGCCTCTGCTCGTACTTCCGGCACAGTATGCGGCGCAGGCCTCTGCTCGTACTTCCGGCACAGTATGCGGCGCAGGCCTCTGCTCGTACTTCCGGCACAGTATGCGGCGCACAAGGTCCTTGGCAGTGGTGCTCACGACAGGACACACCCTTTCTCTGTTTGGTTTCCCAGGCCGATTCAGCCCCAAATCCCCCCCACAGAGGCATACAGCCTACCCGCTCATGGCCCAACTCCAAGACAGACAGACTTACTCAGAATCTCGGCGACGGTAATCCTCCTCTCGCACTTCCGGCACAGCATGCGTCTGACGAGGTCCTTGGCAGCGGTGCTGACGACGGGCCATGGCTCTGTCTCAAAGTCCAGCTCCTGCCACAGGATGCTCTTGAAGACGTCCTCCGTGGTTCTCCCAGGCCGATTCAGCCCCATACTTCACCCACAGAGGCACCCAACCCACCTTCTCACAGTCACACCCAGCAGTAGCACTTACTCAGAATCTCAGACACTGTAATCCGCCGTTCGTATTTCCGGCACAGCATGCGTCTGACCAGGTCCTTGGCAGCGGTGCTCACAACCGGCCAGGGGTCCGTCTCGAAATCAAGCTCCTGCCACAGGATGCTCTTGAACACGTCCTCTGTGGTGTCCCCCCAGAAGGGCGGCAGCCCGCACAGCAGCACGTACAGGATCACCCCCGCGCTCCACACGTCCGCCTCCGCTCCATAGTTTTTAGCAATGACTTCTGGAGCAATGTAGTTTGGTGTTCCTGCCCTCAGCTTGCACCGCTCGCCTGGGGGAGGAGGAGTAGCACAAGGGAAAAGGGAAGGATCACCCCCGCGCTCCACACGTCCGCTTCGGCGCCGTAATTCTTCGCGATGACCTCAGGAGCAATGTAGTTGGGCGTTCCTGCCCGCAGCTTGCAGCGTTCGCCTGGAGAAGACGGGAGGGAAGGGGAGAGAATGGGTACGACAGGGTATAGGGAAGGACTGTAGTTCTTGTTGGGAGGGAGGGAGGGAGGGGGGGGGAAGGGGGGAGGGAGGGAGGGGGGGGGGAGGGAGGGAGGGGGGGGGGGGGAGGGAGGGAGGGAGGGAGGGAGGGAGGGGTGTACCCGGCAGCAAGCCACGCCAGAAATAGTCACTTTGACCCGCGTGTACGTATCGCTCCTAAACACCGGCTTGGGATTTAGGCAAACACACCGAGTACCCATGAAAAAAAAGAGATCCTCATAACATACCCAGATTCAAGTTGTGAGATCAACCTCTTCAACGCACAGGTCACTCAGCTTTGACACAAGCAGAATGTTTTTCAGTGCCCATGATAATCAAGGGAAAATACGTACAGTACCAATGATAATCAAGGGAAAATACGTACAGTACCCATGATAAATAAGAGAATTACCAAACTTATCCGGTTTCAAGATGCTCGCCATGCCGAAATCAATCACTTTGACCGGCCTGTCCTGCTTGGTTACCAACACAATATATCTGGACCCTAGGCAATCGCGCACAGTACCCGTTTTAATAGAGATAATTGCAGAACATACCCGGTTTCAAGATGCTCGCCATGCCGAAGTCAATCACTTTGACCCGCGTGTCGCTCCGCTTCGACACGAGCAGAATGTTCTCGGGCTTTAAGTCCCGGTGCACGATCCCCCGCGCTTGGCAGAAGGCCAGAACCTCCACAACGGAGCGAATGACCCGAGCTGCCTGCCTCTCCCCGTAGTACTTGCGGTCGAGAATGCGATCGAATAGCTCGCCCCCTGCACACAGCTCCATTACTATGTGCACCTCCTGCGAGGATGGGAGAGGGGGCATGAGAGTGGGAGGAAAAAGGGTGGGGTGATGAGTTAAAAGCAGGGATCCCCCAAGCGGCCTGCCTCTCCCCGTAGTACTTACGGTCGAGAATGCGATCGAATAGCTCCCCCCCTGCACACAGCTCCATCACTATGTGCACCTCCTGTGAGGATGGGAAAGGAGGCATGAAAAACAGGTGGGTTGATGAGTTAAAAGGAGGGACCACCCATGCTGCCGACCTGCCTCTCCCCGTAGTATTTGCGGTCGAGAATGCGATCGAATAGCTCCCCCCCCACACACAGCTCCATCACTATGTGCACCTCCTGGTGTGTGTGTGTGTGTGTGTGTGTGTGTGTGTGTGTGTGTGTGTGTGTGTGTGTGTGTGTGGAGGGAAGAGGGAAAGAGGGGGTGAGAGGAGGTAACAAGGGCTCACACGCGCTGCCTGCTTGCCTGCCTGCCTGCCTGCCCACCTGCCTCTCCCTCCCGGTAGTACTTGCGATCGAGCAAGTGAGTATGAGCTGTGGCAGTGGTCCCTCCCTCACATAATGTGCAAACAGGTGAGTGGGGGCAAACCTCCTGCTGACTTGCTCACTGTAGGAACGATTAGGTTGGCACATTGTGAGCAAGTGGGCATAAGCTGTGACGTAGCGGTACCTCATAACTTAGAATGAGCATTGCTGTTGAAAAAAATCAAACTTGACTTCACAATCTGCCCAATCTCAATGTGCCCAATCACAATGTGCCCAATCACAATGTGCCCAATCTCAATGTGCCCAATCACAATGTGCCCAATCACAATGTGCCCAATCTCACCTCCTCATCTTCCATCGTCTCAACAATCGACACCACAAAGGGGTGGCTTCTGAGCGTCTCAGCTTCTCAGAGTCTCTGTGGGCGTGGTTAGAATCTCACCTCCTCGTCTTCCATCGTCTCAACAATCGACACAACGAAGGGGTGGCCCCTTAGCGTCTCGAGCACGCTCACCTCCCTCCTCACGTCCTCCACATCGTCCCAGCACTGGAAGGGTGAGGGAGGGGAGCACAGAGGCGAAATGGAGGGCAGGATATGAGAGGGAGAGAGGCAGAAAGAAATGAAATTTCTCGAGCACGCTCGCCTCCCTCCTCACGTCCTCCACATCGTCCCAGCACTGGATGGTGGAGACGGGGATTAAGAGGATGGGAGAGTTGTCAAAGCGTCTCCAACACGCTCACTGCTCACTCCCCCCCTTACGTCCTCCACGTCGTCCCAACACTGGGAGGAGGAGGGGAGAGGGGCGAAGAGGAGGGAAGGAAATGAGAGGGTAGTGTGAGGCTCCAGCACGCTCACCCCCCTCCTTACGCCTTCCACATTGTCCCAACACTGGGGGAATAGATTGGGTGGCATTTAAGGAAGGAGGAACACGGAACGGAGGGGAAAATCTATACAAAAGGGGAGGAGAGGAGACGTGGAGCAGGTGGGGCGGCAAGTAGAGGAGGGGGAAAGGGAGTGAAGGGCGGTGTAAGCTGTTACGGCAGTTCGAGCATGTGAGCCTCCCTCCTCCATGTCGTCGCTTTCTCGTGACTCTAAAAACTTGTCTTGTTCCACAACGTTAAACCGGAGGTGTTTGTGGAAGCACTCTTAAAAACTCTTGATGATGAGCAGTGGTTACTATTGATGATAAGCTGTGGTTATTATTGATAATAAGCTGTGGTTACTATTCATAATAAGCTGCTTTCATGCAAACAGCTCCAAATCATCTAGACTTCTCCTGCCAGCCACATTCTCAGGAACAAGGACATTCTTTGAAATCCCCTTCCCTAGTTCCTAGTTCCTTGTTCAGCCAGACTATAGAGGAGGAGCGTGCCTAGAGTTCTTCTGCCAGTCACATTCTAAAGGGGAACACGGACTGCTTTTGAGTCGACTCAAAAGTCACATTCTCAAAGGGGAACACGGAAATTCTTGGAAATCCCCTTCCCTCGTTCCTCGTTCAGCCTAGTTTTGAGTCGACTCAAAACTAGACATTCTTAGAGATCCCCTTCCCTAGTTCCTCGTTCTGCCAGACTAAAGAGGAGGAGCGTGCCTAGAATTCTCCTGCCAGCCACATTCTCAAGTTCCCCACTTCCTTGTTCAGCCAGAATATACCAAACAAGGAGCGTGCGTGCCTTTACCAAACAGATTGAGTGCAGGCAGCAACGCTCAAATCCTCCTGCCACATGGATCCTACCAGGAATCACCTTCCCAAGTAACGATCAGAGCAACAAAACAAGAAACAAATGCTCACCTCCAAATTGGCGCCTGAGAGAAATCTGTAAGCAAACACTCAAGTTCTCCCCCATGTGAATCACGCCAAAGTCCCCCCGCCCTAGCTCCTTCTCAGCTACCGTATATGCACCAAACTGAACATTCAACACTTCTCACCTCAAACTTGGCCTTGGTGATGCTCTTGCATGCAAACTGCTCTCCGGTCTGCAAGTTCTCCCCCACGTGAATCACTCCAAAGTTCCCCCGCCCTAGCTCCTTCTCAGCTAGTTTATACCTTTTGCCTGATATACACCACACGCCTGACGCCAAATCACAGGCATTGCAGCATTGCTCACCTCGAATTTGGCCTTGGTGATGCTCTTGCATGCAAACTACTCTCCCGTCTTAACAGGCACATACTCCCCTTGACAACATGCACAGTCTCTCCTCACCTCAAACTTGGCCTTGGTGATGCTCTTGCATGCAAACTGCTCTCCAGTCTGCAAGTTCTCACGTGAATCACTCTAAAGCCCCCCTTCCTAGCTCCTTCTCAGCTACCGTATATGCACCAAGCTGAACATTCAACCCTTCTCACCTCAAACTTGGCCTTGGTGATGCTCTTGCATGCAAACTGCTCCCCAGTCTGCAGATTCTCCCCCACGTGAATCACTCCAAAGTTCCCCCGCCCTAGCTCCTTCTCAGCTACCGTACATGCACCAAACCAAACTGAACATTCAACACTTCTCACCTCAAACTTGGCCTTGGTGATGCTCTTGCATGCAAACTGCTCTCCAGTCTTAACAGGCACATACTCCCCTTGACAACATGCACAGTCTCTCCTCACCTCGAATTTCGCCTTGGTGATGCTCTTGCATGCAAACTGCTCTCCCGTCTGCAAGTTCTCCCCCACGTGAATCACTCCAAAGTTCCCCCGCCCTAGCTCCTTCTCAGCTAGTTTGTACTTCTTCCTGATATCCTCATAAGGTTTCCCCAACACATTCGCACGAGTCGGGCCTAGCTCCTCGGCAGCTTCCTCCTCTCCCATCCCCTCTCCGCCCTCCGTCTCCCCACCGTCGATCCGGTAGTAGTCGCTAGGCTGGGGCGTCCGAAGCGGGAAGCCAGCCTCGGCCCGAGCCGAGGCTCCAGCTTTGGGGGACGGGATTGGGGTTCCGTGGTTCCAATTGGCGAACATGCTCTGGATCTCGGCCAGTTTGGCTTGGTCCCGATCCTCCTGCGCAGCCAAGGTACCGGGGCTGACCACCACGCTCCCCCCACCAGGCGTCATAGCACCAGGAGTCACAAACCCGGTTCGGGAACCCGTTTGAGACAGCATGGGGGAGCCTAGTAACGGGGAGCCTACTAACGGGGATCCAAAGCGTGGGCTGGCGTAGGGGCTAGCATAAGGGCTGGCGTGGGGGCTGGTAGATGGTAGGACGATTTTGGGCTTGTGTGGACTTTGGATTGACACTGCTTTTGACCTTCCTTCAGGGTTTTCCCCAACCTCTGTTCTCCCTCCCCCGCCTGGGGTAAACACCTCCCTTTCTTCCTTCTCCGATCCCCCTCGTGTTCCGCCTCCCCCTCCCCCTCCTCCGCCAGTCCCCCCTCCAGCTATCCCTCCCCCCACTCCTCTAGTCACTCCCCCAGGCCCTCCCCCCATCCGCATTCCCCCAGCGCGGGGGGGACCAGCATAGGGGCTTTCCCCGCCCGGAGGGCTTCCCCCCTTGCCTCCCCCGGGGGAACCCCTACCTGGAATATTAGAGCCACCAGTTTGCGGACTAGAACCGCTTGCAGGGGAATTAAAGCCGCCCATATGCGGATTAAAGCCCGCCTCTGGATTGAACCAGGCTTCACAGCTAGCGGACCTCCTATGGCCCATCTTTTTCTTAGTAGGCATACTCCCCGCCCCGCTTTTCCCTGCGCCACTCGCCCCTCCCGCTCCCCCTGCCCCTGCCCCGCCTACCCCAGGTGCGCCCGCCAGCCAACCAGGGCTTGGGCGCACAGGATTCGCCCCTGAAGGCGCAGCTCCCCCTCCCCCCATTCCCCCCGCATACCCCCCTGTGCCTGCTGCGGAGCCCCTCTGCGCGCCTTGGGACGAGATCGGCCCCCCTTGCCTGCTGCGCAAGGGGCTCCCATAGGCGGAAACCCCCCGTCCCCCTGCTCCCCCTGCTGCTCCGCCTGCCGCTCCGCCTGCTGCTCCCCCTGCTGCTCCGCCTGCCGCTACGCCTGCTGCGCCTGCGCTCCCCCCGAAGGCCAGCACAGGGCTCTTAGGGGGAGTCTTCACGGAGCGCCTCAGGTCTAAGGGGCCGCCGTCATAGGAGCGCGAATTGCGCCTAACAGCGGGTATTCCCAGGGGTGGCAGCGGCTGCTGCGATGGCTGCGCCGCCTGCTGCTGCTGCTGCTGCTGCTGCTGCTGCTGGTCGTGGCGAGGAGGGGAGTGCTGCTGGGTTCCTTGAATCAGCTGCGGCTGCATCTGCTGCTGCTGCTGCTGCTGCTGCTGCAGCCGCTGCCGCTCCTTATCACTGCTGCGAGCCTGTCGCCTATCCCAAATGGCCGCTCCCTCTCCCGCTCCCCCGCCGGATCCCCCGCCTGCTCCCCCTCCGCTGCTGCGCGCGCGCCTTCCCCGCACATCTTCCGCCTCCCCATCATACTCATCGTCAGCGGGGCTTCTTATACCACCCCGCGCCCTCTCCCCGTAACTCCCGCTCCTTCTCTCCCCCCCGCTCCCCGCATCAATTCCCGCGGCTGCAACCTTCCGCACCCCATGGCTGGTGTCCCCCTCTTCACGCCGTCTCCGGTCGTCAGGACTGGCATTCCGTGATGCGCTGCCCGGCCTTCCTGACGGACCGTCAGAATAATTGCTGACGGCTGACGGCCGCTGTTGGGGGCTGGCTTGCCGGCGGTTCTCTCCTGCTATAACCCCTCCCACGACGCCTCCCGGCCCCCCGCTTTGGCTCCGCCTATGCCCCTGCTTAAGCGCGCCGATAATTCCCGGCCCATCCCCCTCACGTCTCGTCTTGTTCCCCTCCGGTATCGCGTGTTTGAGAACTGGGCTCCAACCTGCCGGACCGTCAGTCTGCTCACTGCTAGCCGTCGCCGGCCGGTTGCTTCGTCCGGTCGGTCCAGCTCCCGCGGCGAGCGGCCACTCCTGCGGTTTACTCCGCGGGGGATGCGCTTGCGGGGGCTGCTTGCTCCTCGAGCCGCTGGCTTTAATCGCCTCTGGCGCGCCGCGATACGCAGCCGCGTTCGTTGCAGGGGAGCCTTGGAAGTCGTCGGTCGCGTCGGCAGCGGAAAACGCGGCGATGACAAACTCTTCAGAGCGGATTCGGCGGTGGCGAGCCGCCATGGGTTTAGGAGGCTTGCTACCCTCGACCGGGTTCTTCGTTTGTGAAGAAGCATACCCGCCAGTCACGCTACTAATACCGCCGAAGCTGCTACTACCGGACAAGCCGTAGACCGCGTTGTTGCTGATGCTCGTACCTGTACTGTTACCCGTAACATTGCCGTAACCACTGCTGTAACCAGCCGAGCTGCTGTCGTTGTTACCACCACTGTAGCCGGCGTTACTGCCGCCTCCGATAGTTCCGTGAGATCCGTTTCCACTTCCACCGCCGCGAATGACGCCGCTGTTTACGCTCCTGCTAGGACTGCCACTGGTTCTGCTGCGGTTGTTATAACCGTCGACGCTGCTGCTGCGGTTGTGGTAGCCGTCGATGCTGCTGCTTTTACCTGAAGAAATTTCACTGCTTAAATCAGGCGATCCAAGATAAGGCGTTTTTAGAGGCGATTGCTGATTGGTTGTCTGAGAACGTCTAACCTCCTGTCCAACGCCATGATTAAGCTCCGCATATGGCGGCGACTTTTGGGGCGAATATTGTTGTCTCGAACGAGGCTGCATATTGTACGCGTTATGGCTGCTCCCGTCAATAGGTTGTTCTCGAGCGTGTTTCATTTCGTCCGGAGAATGCTGCGGGTCTTGCGAATAATCAGGGGGCGAAATGCCTCCCGAATGCCGTCGGCGATGCCTACTAGGAGGCTCCGCAACTTCATCCTCTATATAAACATCTTCGTTTCTATCTCCGACACGTGGAATCGCGCCAGATTGATGGCTATAAGTTACGGCCTGAAGCCGAGACCCAGATGCTGGAGTAAGAAGCGTCGGGTCGAATTGGAAACTGTCGGAATGGCTTCGTCGATGACTGTTTTTTGACTTGACAGGCCGAGGAGGAACAGGCGACACCGCACGATGCACGCGCTCCTGTTGTTCGGACACATCGGGACCGTTCATTTGCGCGACGCGATGTCCCGGCTCCCGGGAATGGTGCGAGCGGGGTCGAGAATCAACGGTGACGTCCATTGTCAGTTTCAAAATGTGGAAATGGTTTTGAACTCTGGAGTAATAAGCAGGTGCGATACCTACTACTAAAAAACTACCGTAAAAAAAATAGAGCAGATGGTAGTTTCCAAGTCTACTCGACCTGCAGGAACAGCTGGAGAGATCACATAGGAGAGAGTAATCGTGAGTTTGCGTCAGAGGTGGTGGAATGAAGAGAGAAGGCTCAGCTCTGACATTGAACACGATGGTTGGAGGTACACCCTGATGCTCACTCAACCGCCTATTCTGAACACGTCCACTCCCACTCCATACGCCCAGTGGTCGACATTCACTGCCAACGGCCCGCGCGTTACTAGCCCACGACAAAACCAAGATATTGTTGACCTCGAATAAGTTATACGAGTTTCCCAGACAAGACACGCTGGGCTTCCCAGATACAGTCCCATTCTCCCCGTAGCGATCGCGTGCTCGAAAGAGGAGCACAGAGAAAGATGTGGAACAAGACTGAAATGGGCATCAGGTGTATTTTAGAATTTCTAGGCTGTGCTGGTTCAGCACAAAATCGAGGAGTTGGAGCTGGTAACCACGGTCGTCGAAACCGATATCCCCGTGACGAGTTTCGCCGATGCAGCAGAAGTTGCGCTTTTGGCGAATGGCAAATCGTGTTGCACAATGAGCTGAGATGGCCTCACTCGAAGCTCACAGCACCGTACGAGACCCTCACTCAACTCACTAAAAACATCTTATTTTGTGCAATCGACTCGCCCAATTGGAGGAGCATACAGTTGCATAGCACGAGGTCATTTCATTAGAGAAGTAGGGCTGCCACTTGCTTGCGGTGGCTTTCGCCAACCCAAAACCATTCCGCCTCGAATCGAAGCGCTTGTTCCTCAACAGTCTGCCACAACTTGGAGTGAGGTTGGAAGGGCGTGGACTGCACAGGAAAAAAATCTGCACGGGCAAGATCAGAAACATGTTGGCCACCACCCTTCTGCTGCACAGTGGCCAGGTTGTACAGAACTTTCATCACAATAATGGCTTGTATATTTCCAGCAAATTGTTGTACGCGCATAGATGATAGGAAATTAGAACTATCAGCAGAACGGATCAATTCAATAAAAGAAATTACTACATCAAACATGTTTTATGTTATGAATGCGCTTACAGAGTGCGCAGGTAATGTTACAAATGGTAATGTTTGAAACATTACTGTGCACTCCTAACCGCAGCTAAGGAAGCACGCAGTATCGAGAACGAATACGAGGAGTCAGAACTGACTCGAAGCGTCAGACGGTTGGGGTGGATCTGGACCGTCGGAGCAGACGGCATCGGGCAGCTGAAGGCACGAGGAAATTGGCGGGAACAGTTTCTTAACTGTACGCGCCGCACGGTTGGAATGAACTCGAATAAGGGAATGTACCCCTTAGAGTACATGGCTAGCTAGGTCGATTCGAATTCCCCTGTTCTCCTATTTATACCTCTGTATTTGCATGTTTTTATTAATCTCAAGCATTTTACATCCACTCTGCTATTGAGATCAAGGGCCCACCACTAACTACCTAGCTGTGTGCGAACCTTCCTGAGGAGATCCTGGGAGCGATCCCCTTCTGATCGTAGCATGGTATGAGAGCGACTCAGGAATTCTTCGCGCAGCCACTCCCGAAATCCTCGACATTCGGAAAGTGGCGTCCGGCACACGATCGCGTGTGAGAATGGCCGGAGGATCTGGTGGTCAGACGAATCTGACGGCTGAAGCGCAACCCAACCCGGTAACGACAAACGAGGAAACGACGACGATCGGGACCGAAGTCCTCGCACAACTTCTTCAGCGACTCACCAGCCTGGAGCAAGGGCTCCAAACATTGCGGAACAGCGACGCGGGAACCTCCTCGCAGCCTTCTCAACTGGCCCCAAATGGCCAGAACGCCGCCCCGCACACTTTCTCCCTCGACACAAATGGTTCAACCCCCAAACCTTTCCGTCCCAGTGAAGAGACAATTCTCTCTGCGCAATCAAGGTTTCTCAGCATATCAAAAATAAAGACAAGTGTGTGCTTTGACGGCAGAGACTTCTATACCTGGAGCTTCGAGCTGGAGCTCCTGCTGCAGAACGCTCAATTTTTTCACTACTTCGACGGGAGTTACGCGGAGCCTGCTGAAGACACCGACGACGCCAGGGCAAGATACTACAACGAGTCTCTGATGGCGTACGGTGTCCTTCTACGCAATATGTCGCCGGCAGAGCAGTTGAGCATTCGCTCGTACAAAACGTCGCCTGCTCCAGCCCTCGACGCCTGGCGCCACCTGAACGGCGTGTACCAGCCGAAAGACTCCGTCTCTTCGAGCCGGCTGCTCCAGCAGCTACTGGAGACAAAAATGGCCCCAGGGGAGAAGGCCAACAGCTACATCAATCGCTGTCGGAGCCTTCGCGATCAAATCGCGAAGTTGGGAAGCTCGATATCAGAGGCGATTTTCGTC